TCGGGGTCACTCACCGTCCTCGCTCTGGTTGTAGTAGCCGCGCAGGGTCCGCAGGTTCTCACACTAAGTCTGTGCCTGTGCCTTGTGGTTCCGCGTGTCCCGCTCCCAGTACTCCGGCCCCTCCTGCTCCATCCACGGCGCCCGCGGCTCCATCCTCGGATTCTCCGCGTCGCTGTCGAAGCGCACGAACTGCGTGTCGTCCACGTAGCCGACGGCGATGTACCGGGGCTCCCCGAGGCCGGGCCGGGACACGGACGTGTGGAAATACCGCATGGAGTGCGAGCCTGGGGGAAGATAGGGCTGAGACCCCGGACAGGGGCGCGGGGCTCGGGTGGACACGGAGCGGGGCGGGGCCGCCCGGCTGGGCCGTTTCCCTCCCGACCCCGCACTCACCCCCGCGGGTCTGGGTCAGGGCCAGGGCGGCGGTGAGCAGCGGGAGGAGGGTGCGCGGCGCCATCGCCCCATTCTGGAGACTCGGGGACAGTCTGAGTCGGGCGGGTCTGAGTGCATGTATAGCGGTGACCGCGGCGACGCTGATTGGCTTCTGTAGGAGCCCGACACCCAATGGGAGTGAGAACTGTGACGGGTCATCAGTGTCCGGGCAGAAGGGCCTGACACAGGTTAGGACGGAGAAGTGAAACTCCGGTGGATGGGGACCCCCACCTCTGGCTTCCCCACCCCAGACCTCGCCAGGACCTGAGACTTTGCCCTGAGCCCTGTGAGGGCAGAGCGCTGCTTGTCACGTGGTCTCCTGAGTCCTGAGACTGTCTGCAGTCCAGGAGAGATCAGAGACTGGGCTGATTTCATCTCCTGCTCCCCACCCTCCTCAGGACCTGACACTTTGCCCTGAGCCCTGAGGTCAGAGCGCTTGTCACGTGATCTCCTGAGTCCTGAGCCTGTCTGCAATCCAGGAGAGATCAGAGACTGGGCTGATTTCATCTCCTGCTCCCCACCCTCCCTCCTCTTTTCAGAAGCTGGACTCTTCCAGAAAAACAGTCACCCCAGGGAACTTGATGGCCACAGGGACATTGTCAAGCCCTGATTTGTCAGGAATTTTCATCTGTGCAGAGTTTGGCTCAGCGGTTAAGGGCACTGATTGCTCTTGCAGAGGACCCAGGTTTGATTCCCAGCACCCACAGTTCCAGGGCATTGCACGACCCGGGTTCACTCACATACATGCAGGCAATACACTCATACACATAAAATGATACAAGTTTTTAAAAATATTTTATTAACAGTCAGGTATGCAGGGGGCCACGCTGATGATCTTGGCAGTCAGGGATGGAGACACAGGTTGTGGCCAGCCTGATCTACATCATGCGTTTCAGGCCAGCTGGGGCTATAAGGTGACTTTGTCTCAAAAACAAAACAAAACAATTTGTATCAATTCTGGTCTAGTCAATACTTTTATACCCATACCTTGCTGGTCATTTCTGGGATAAGAATGCCATCAGCCTCTGTGTCCAGGGTTGACTGGTCACGCAGCCACCCTCTCCTGGTTCTGCCCAAACGTGGCTCCCAGATCCACTAACTCCAAGGGTCCAACCAATGTTCCCATGTTGCCGTCCCTCTCTACACCAGCTCCTCTGTGTCTCCATCTGTGAGCTGGGCTAGTTCTGAGCTCAGTTCTCATCAGGGGCCACCCAGGGGCTCCAGCTGCTCCTCCATTTTCCTAGAACTTGCCAGGACAGGTTTGTTTGCTGCCTCTGATGCAGTCAGCAAACTCTCTGGCCCTTTCAGGGTGTCCTCCTCCCCATCACCCCAGGCCTGTCTGAGGCCAGCCTGAAATCCCCTCAGAAGGCCTGTCACACCTGGAGTCAACTCTCTCCCTGCTCTCTGCCACCCTACCCACTGCAGCCATTATTGTGCAAAATTAAGACCCCTGAAAGCCCAGAGCACTGCTGTGAAATACCAGGGAAATTCAGAGGCCTCCAGGGGACTTGGCATCCTCACTGGGGCAGTGAGTGTGGGGTGGCAGCCCTGCCAGGTGCAGGCAGCAGCAGTGTCCACACAGGAGAACAAGAGGAACCTGGTCCTGGTCCTCAAGCTCACCGAAGTAATGTCTCAGGTATCTTCTGCTTGTTCCCCAGACCTTACCTTCCTCCCCTGTCCACCTTCATAGAAGAGACGTGGCCAGCAGCCTTCCTCTATACCAGCACTTCCTTTCTCATCTGCAGAGCTGCTCAGGACAAGCTCACTGAAATCTACCCACTCACTGACACTACACCATTCACAGGAATGTTTCTTTGGAAACCTTGGTGTTCGGGCCTTACTGCAAGGCCTGCAGCAGGCTCTGACAGCAGCCTGGGCCTCAGCATCCAGGGCAGCCCTGGGTTCAACTGAACAATTCAGTCTCTGGTGGAGCTGGGAGCTGGACCAGGAAAAGGCCCAGGACAGCAGGACAAGGAGAGGCAGGTCCGCTCTGCTTACAGCTTTGACCTCAGCCTGTGGTCCTGTCCACTCCTAGGGCTGGTGCACACAGCAGCATCTCTGGGCTCCTGGGTGTCCACAGTCAGCTTCTGTAGCTGGACACAGTGCTGAGACGAGCCCTGAGGACTCTTCTGGACAGGGCAGCTGTTTGTGACCTTTTATTGGATTGGTCTTTCAAGCTGTGGTAGGAGCAAAAGCTGCCGGCAACCCCATCAAGGAGGTGTGGGGGTTGTCTCCTTTTTGTTTAGGTGCAGAGATCCAGGGCTGGAAGGCCATGGAGGGCACACACAGCGGAGGTTCTCCTTAGAGGAAAAGGCCAAAGTCCCCAAGGTCTGCAGCAAACTGGACTGTTTGTCCTTCTCTGAAGACCCAGGGTACTGGGAGACATGTCCAACTGGTTGGGGTCTTGCGGAAACCAGGGAGTCAGCGACTCAGGACACCTGTGGAGGTACTTGAAGATTGAACCTCCTGTACCAGGCAGCACCAACCAGGCCTGCCGCTCCCTGCCCTTGCCATGCTGGCTCAGCAGAATGTCAACATGACAGTTGGGGAAGAGAAGCCCCACTTACAGGTCTGGTTCTGAGAACCTTGAGGAAGAGATGTACATGGGGCAGCGGTCCAGGAACAGGATGCAGGTGGCATCGTGGGTGCTGTACAGCTTGGGAACCTGCACTCCTGGCACTTGGACAAACACTCAGAAGACAAGGGAAGCAGGTGGCTGAGAACCAAGCACAGGGCTCGTCTGGCTGGGGCTCCTTCTTGCAGGGTGGAAGGTAGGTGCCGCCTTAGAACGGGACAGTTACACAGCTGCTGGGGGCCGCAGAGAAGAGCGGGATGCAGGTGACTCAGGTCTCCAGCTGGTGATGATCCTCTGAGAACAGCAGACAGGCAGCTCTTCCCACACAGGGGGATCTGATCCACTGACAAGGCAGCTGGTGCCAACCTGAGCATCCAAGACAAACTTGTCCCTTCCCGGCAAGAATCTCCTGGCTCTCTCTTCTCCTGCTCGGTCCCACAGCTCAGTGTACAGGCCCAGAGCATCAGGCATCCTCCCTGCAGCAAGGATGGGATGGCTGGATGGCAGGGAGGTGCAGCACCCAGGGCTCCCAGTGAGCCCACAAGCTCAGAGGTAGCTGCTCCAGGGTCTTCTGCTGCCTCAGGCACAGATGGAGGCTACTCTGGAGTGTCTTGTGTGCCCAGGCCTGCAGGTCCCCTCCATAGCCCACAACTCCAGGGCAGAGTCACCCCCCCCCCAACACCTCTACTAATTCAAGGCAGATCACTGCAGCCAGGCCCTTGCTCCAGGGTGCCAAGACAAAAGCCATGTGGGTCTAAGGCTCCTGCTGGGGAACATTGCCATCCCTGGCCCTCCCCTCATAAGAACAAAGGGAGCAGAAGCGATGAACCGGGTCAGGAAGGCCAGTGAGCACTGACAAAAAGCTTCCCAGAGCCAGTTTCAGTGATACAGCTCATTTATTCTGTGGGACTCAGGGAAAAATATAGGGTGGAAGCGGCAGCCAAAGCTTCAGCTGATAGGTGTTCATAGTGTGCTTTATATGTGGCAGGAGGACCCTGTCACCTGGCTATAGTCAATGCCTAATTGTAATCAGGAAAACACCTAGGGGCAGTTTTTTGCAGGCGACTATGCCAAGGTCATGTTCCAAATAAGGCCAGGCATCTGTGCTTGGAGGCCCTTTCCAGATAAGGTCAGGCAGAGAGCAGGAAGCCCCCACTGAGAAAGGGAATCCTTCACACAGCGCCGCGCTCCTTAGAGCTATCGGGACATGGTGGACTGCAACTGCGACGGACCAGCCCAGACCAGAGCAGTTCAGTCCGACGGGAACAGGGTCCTTGAGAGAGTGGGCAAGGATTCGGCCAGTGAGAAACAGACAGACACACAAGAGCTTGGTGAAGGTCTGAGTGTATTGTTGTAGCTGCAAGGTTTGAAACATATACAGCAAAGATTGCAAAATTTTATTAACAGATGACTGTTCTGTAGTTAATCATTTTTTAAGATTTTTAGTTTTAGAGATAAAAGTGAAACAATTTTGCCAACCATCACGTACAGCCAAAGCACATTTCCTTATCACCAACCTGTTACCAGATAGCAAATTCCTGCTTTATGATACTATGGTTTTTACTGCCAGCGTTTTTTACGTACTCAGGTTTTTGCTCAGCTTTGCAGTCTTAGGTCAAACTGACCTTAAACCACCATGTACTTTCAACATTAGCTGTACCTGATAATTACATTCTTTATTTACTATTAGATAACATTCCCCGCTCATTTGTGGTGGGCCATAGGGCTTCTAAGTCTTTCCCTAATCCTGTAGATTCTAAAAAGTCATCCCATGCTAGGGATCTATGTAACTATCCTTCCCAGCTATCTTTCCAATTCTTAACTACAGTCTGTAGTTGCCTTTTAATGCTCTCTTGTTGAGTTTTGTCAAAAGACACTAAGGTGGTCTTGATCTTGTCAATTTATCCATGAATTGTAATGAATACCAAGAAACCCTTCTTCCATCTATATTTGCCCATCTATGTCCCTCTTCATCATAAGCTCCTGTACATGGTAAAGGCTCATCTGTTGGTTCTGGAAGTTTAAACATACTCTCTTACCCTTTTGGTGGATGCCACAATCTACCTCCCGCTAGGATATAAGCTAGACCAAAATCAGTCATAACAGTTGGTGGTAACTTTCTTTTTCTCCTAGTACCAGAATTAAGGTCTTTTCTCTGACTTGCCTGTCCTGTAGGAAATATATCATCTTTAGGACTTTCCAACATTACCTCTGCTTGTTCTATTCTGTCCATGATATTCCATGACTGATTATTTCTAGCAGCTTCTAATATAGCTTTAAGCAGTAAAGGTGCATCAGAAGACAAGGTCATCTGAGGAAACCGAGTTCCTAGATACCCATAAAAGAATGAAAGTCATAAAGATAATAGCAAGCAAAATACAGCTGAGTACACTGAAGATCTTTTTTGCACTGCTAGTTCCAAGAGGCAACCTGCCTTGAAGTTTCAGCTTCAACCCGTGGAGGATCTCACGTGGGCTCCATTAGAGATGGCGTGACATGCAACCTTAGCAGAAGGGTCCCCAAACATTCCAGCACCACGCCACTCCTCTAAGCTTTAGGAGCCAAGCACGCACCTGTGCAAATCACCTACTCTTTTGAGTTCAGGATGGGAGATGAGATTCAAATTGCCCCAGTTAGAGACCTTATGCTGGCAGCAATAACCCAGATGTGGGTGATGGGACCTCAGAGCTGTCCTCCATTGGTGCCCTGCCTCCTCCATCTCCTCCCTTCAGGACCAGTCCTGCAGTCCCTCCACCCTCTGTTCAAACCAGGAACACTCCAAGTCTCTGAGTGGCTGGCGGGGCCTCTGGCCAGGCGGCCTCAGACTCTGTGCTCAGCCTCCAAGTCCTTTGCTCAGGCTCATTTATTTTCAAATGACATAAAACAGAAAGAATGCACATATTCATGGGTTATCACGTGATGTTTCCACACATGAAGACTTGATATAGTGTCTAAACCAGAGTAACCACACCATCCCCTCAAATGTGAGTCCTTTCTATGGTGACAATCCTCATCCAGGGTTTGGAGTCTGCAGCTCTGGGTGTCTGGTTGCCCACTGAGCGGCAGCCCCCAGAGCTCCTCCCTCCTCACTGTGACCACTTCCCAGCCCTCATCCCCACTGTCCACCTCTGCTGACCCCGTTCTACCCTCAGCTCCCAGGAGCTCAGCAGCTTCTCTTCCCACGTCCCGTCAAGTCCTGTTCCCTATCTGCTGTGCTTGTGTCACTGAGGACGGTGGCCACTTGCAGCCCTGTGTGCACAGATGACAGGCCTGCCTTCTCTTCACGGACAGAGCCTGGTGTGATGTGCTGCACTCTCCACCCACCCAGCGGCTGACAGGGTAGTTCCCAAGGTATTTTCTGAATCCCATGATGGACCTGTGGTCAGGTCTGAGGATCTGTCACACTCAGGTCTTCAGGATCCTCAAGGAGGCTGTGGAGCCCTCTGCGGGTCTCTGGGTTGGGGGACTGGTGGAGAGCCTTTCTTCCCAGCTGGGTCTCTTTCAGCACAGCCCAGGTGGAGCTTCCTTCCCAGGAGAACCCCTGGGCTCAGTCTCCAGATCCTGAGCCCTAGGGGGGGCCTGGGGAGGGGCTGGAAGAAGCATCTCCTCCCCATCCCTGGGCTAAGAAGGGAAGCACTGCAGTGCAGTGGGTGCAGATCCCACCTCAGAAGGCAGAATCTGCAGACCCACTGTGTGCATGGCCTCAGCTACTGAGGAGCAGAGGAGAACCACACCCTAAGGCAGTTGCTGCAGGATGTCCCCAGCCTGGAATCCTGCTTTTGACCATCTATGACTTTCTCTTTCCTTTGTCTAGAGTGGGGGTGACAGTGATCATCACCCTGGAAGTCACCTCAGGCCTCCCAGATTCTGAGCCACACTCAGAGTTGTCCTGCCTTAGACTAGTTGGCTACCTTGGGACCGCTTCCATTTCTCTCTGGATTGGCACAGCGCCCAGTCAGCACAGAGAAAGGCTGAGTGAGTCCTGGGGTGGAGGACAGTGCAGAGAGGAAAACTGGCTTCCAGGGCAGAGCAGAAGGGGACAGAGGGAGAAGCGGGGGGGGGGGACACACCTGGGAGGTCTGGTGGGGGAAGGGCAGCACCCTACATTGTGGGGAGCCCCATCTGGACCACAAGACCTGTGCCTCCTCTGAGGCTTTTCTGGAAACCCTCTCTGGGCCCAAGAACAAAGCTGACATGCAGCTACTAAAGTGGTAAAAGTCCTTCTTTGGGAATGGGGGAATGGGAGGGTCTCTGCAGGGGCTCACCTGGGAAGTCCCTCAGGGAGGGCAGACACCATGGAGGACAGAGCTTGGGACCAGCTGTCAGCAGAGCTGGGCTCCTGTCACCTGCCTCCTCAGCACCCTGTGACCTTCCAGTGAAAACAGTCTGAGAATGGACACCGGGCCACAGTCCCTTGTGTTTCCACTGTGGCGATGTGGGTGAGCATTTAAGGAGGGGCCCTGAGCCTGGCCAGCTCCTCAGAAGCTGCTCCTGAGGCCAGGAGTCAGTTAGACCCCACCTGGCAGTCAGCATGGGGCCCCAGGACCTCAAAGGTTTCTGCCTTTGCACTGACAGCTTGCTTCTTGGTGACCATCACCTGCCAACTGCAGCTAAGACATCTTGGTTCCTAGAAAAACCACAGAGGCAGGCAGCAGACAGTGAGCTGACTGACAGGTCCCTTTGCAAAGTCCTTTAAAAACTGCACACAGAAGGCCTGAGAGACAAGCCATCTTGGGACCCTCCTGCTGGGCAGGAGCTGGGGTGCCACTGATCCCAGTAAGGCCTTTGCTCTGTCCCAGGAGCTCTCCTTCCCTGCTGCTCAGCAAACTAACACTTTGTTGTTTGTTGGGACAGGGACTCACTATGTCACCTGGCTGGTCAGGAACTGGCACACACCACAGGAGTCTGGGGCAGGGCCAGGGAGCCAGGTCAGCACAGAGGGTACCACAGACCCCATCTTCAGTGCTGGTGTACCCTAAGAGAAGGGAAGTGCTGAGTGTAAAACCCACGGCACCCTTGTCTGTGGGATCACGTGAGCCCGCGTCCCCGGCCAGAACTGTGCCTGGAGATGCTCAGACAGGAGGCAGCAGGATCAGGGAGGAAGCTCAGTGCCCAGGTCCACGGAAGGCCGTGCCCGGGAGGTGCGCACAAGGGAGCCTGGAGGTCACACTGCTCCCAGGACTCAACCACAGTCGCCTCCCTTGGGTGAGGGAGCTGAGCATGGACAAGAGAGCCAAGGAGACCAGGCTCTGTCTGACTTGTGACCAGTAGGGAGAGCTCTCCCTAAAAATGTACTGGGGGACAGAGATGGCTCAGGGGTAAAGGTGCTCACCACCAAGCCTGATGACTAGAGCTTGATCCTGGGACTCACCAGATAGGAGGAGAGAACCTACTCCTGCAAGTCTTCCTCTGACCTCCACACATACACCTTGATCCATGCACCTCCCCCAAGTAAGTAAATGAGTGAATAAATAAATGTATTCAGATGAATGGCCTGACCAAGAGATTAGGTTGGGCTCCTCATGGGAGGGGAAAGGACCGTGGAATATGTAAGTCTGTCCCTGGTCAGTACTTTCTGCTGGCTCTGCTGTCCTGCTGATGAGGCTGTCAGTCTTGGGGAACCTGTCAGGGCAGGAATGTGCAGCCAGGAGAAACAGACTAAAGGGGGATTTAACCCAGATAGTGTGCAAGTATGAGTTTCTAGACAGAATTAGCATGTTCTAGATTTTGAACTTACTATAGGTGATTTAAAATTAAGTCTACTTTCAGATCTAATTCCAGAGTTTTAAGCAGGATGGTCAGATTGGGTCATTTCTGCCCCCAGGTAGGGTCAAGCTCTAGGTGGACAGGCCAGTCTCTCACAGAGATGGGTCCACAAGGCAGTCTCAGCCCAACTCTGACCACAGATGACCTGGGTTCCAGGTTTGACAGGGAGCTACAGCCACGAGGAGTACTGGGCACAGTCAGCACAAGGTCAGGCTCAGGACCCAGGAGCAGCTGCCCTTGCACTTGGTGCAAATGCCAATCCTTCCATGAGGATCTCTGATGTCCCAGTGTCCTAATGACACCCACAGGGTCCTCATGCCCATGTGCTGAGGAGGACCACCAGCAGCATCACTAGACTCCTCTCACTTTTCATCCTCTTCCTTTGGCCTGCCCACCCTCATCTGGCATCAACAAACACCCAAAGCACTTCACAACTCATGAGTGACATGAACAAAAGAGCCCAGGAGGTGACAGAGCTGAGGAGTGACCACGTCAAAGTCCACAATGGACTGAGCTCCAGCTGGGCACAGCCCTGTCCACACTGGGCTCCCACAGCCTCCTCCTGTCCCTCCTGACATACCGGATAGCAAACACAGATTCCAGAAGGTTCTCAAGACTGTCATTTATTTCTTCATTCTTACAGACCATTGCTTTGAACAATTAGGTTAATGTTCAGATTCTTACTTTCAGTGGGAAATGAGACGAGGCAGCTCAGGGCAGCATGGAGCTGACAGGATGGAGACGTCCCCGCCCCCCTGTGCTGGAACAGGAAGGCCGGCTGTGGAAGGGAACACGGGACAGAGCAGGGACAGGGGTTCTGCTGGGCAGGGCTGGGCTGGTCTTCCCAGGTCTTCACACTGCACACAGGAGAAAGCAGACATCTTCAGACACTGCCGCCAAAGACAATCCAGTGGTTCTTGAAGTCAGAGAAGAGACTTGAACACATCTCCTGTCCCTCAGTCCCACAGGGCAGCTGTCTCAAGCTGAAGAACAAGAGTCATGAACAGTCTATAAAGACAACACCACCAACACCCACCACTCACTCAAAGGTCCAAACTCTGGGAGTCCCCATGACCTGGTCCTGTCCCATTTGCCCACCCCCAATCCAGGCCTTCAGGTGTCATCTTTGCAAGCCTCAAGGGACAGTCAGAGCTCTGGGCACTGTCATGTCCTGCAGTGAAGAAATAAGACACTCAGAGCCAGAGAGAATGTGTCTGAAGGAGGAATTATGGGCTGGCTGGCTCCCCGTGGGCTCCATCTCCACCCCAAGGGCCTCAGGGATCATCCTGCTCCCTATACTGACCTGGAGCCTGAGCATAGCTCCCTCCTTCTCCACCTGTGAGAAAGAAAGCTGTGAGACCATAGTAGTTCTGGATCCAAGGAAGTTTCCAGAAGTGTGACTGCAGACCCAGGGAAGGGTCAGGAGGTATGAGGACAGGAGGTACAGGGACTGAAGAAGTACCCTCCTGGAGGTCTGTCCTCACAGGGACCTTCCCCTCTGACCTCTGAGAATCAGGTCCCCATGTCCACAGACCTCAGAGTGATGACTCTGTCCCTTACTTTCCATGTGCTTTACAGAGCAGTGTCAGCACACAGACCAGTCAGGAAAGTTTGTGTGTGGGCGGGGCTTCCCATGAGGAGGGAAAGACACTTCTAGAAGAAGAGAGAAAACCCAGACCCTGCTGCTCCCTACCTGTGTTCATCCTCCTCCTCACAACAGCCACCACAGCTCCAATGACCACAGCTCCAAGGAGAGCCAGGACAGCCACAACTGCCAAGATGGGGATGGTGGGCTGAGGAGGCTCTGGGAAGGGAAGGGAAGGTGAGGGCCTGACCCCAGCTCTCAGCCCTGACCCTGCTCAGGGTCTCCAGAAGGCTCCTGCTTTCCCTGACAGCAGGCTCTGTGCCCACACCCTCCTTACCCCATCTCAGGGTGAGGGGCTCAGGCAGCCCCTCATGCTGCAAATGGCATGTGTATCTCTGCTCCTCTCCAGAAGGCACCACCACAGCTTCCCACTTCTGGAAGGTTCCATCCCCTGCAGGCCTGGTCTCCACAAGCTCCATGTCCTGGGTCAGGTCCTCCCCATCCCTCTGCCAGGTCAGGGTGATGTCAGCAGGGTAGAAGCCCAGGGCCCAGCACCTCAGGGCGACATCTCTCAGGAATAGTGTCATACAACTTCCTCTGACCCCAAAAGAGAGGCACAATTCCAGCTGATCCCATTTTCCTCCCTCCTCAGAGACATGAACCCCAGTCCGAGGCAGATGGAGGATTTTCCCGCAGCCCGGCTTACCTGAGCGCTGCAGAGTCTCCTTCCAGTTCTCCAGGTATCTGAGGAGGGTCTCCACACACTCTCCCTCCAGGTAGGCCCTCCTGAGCTCTGCCTCCCCAGCCTGCTCCCACTTGCTCCTGGTGATCTGAGCCGCCATGTCCGCCGCGGTCCAGGAGCGCAGGTCCTCGTTCAGGGCGATGTGGTCTTTGCCGTCGTAGGCGATCTGCTCATACCCGCGGAGGAGACGCCCTTGGGAATCCACAGCGCAGCCAAGAATCCTCTGCAGGGTGTGAGAACCTGGCCCCGCCCCCGCGGTCAGCCCCGCCCACACGGCCCCGCCCACATGGCCCGCCCACATGGCCCCGCCCACCCTGTATGAGGATCTCAACTGAAAATGAAACAGGCTCGTGGTCAGTGGTTCCTCCAGGCCAGGGTTCCCTGGGGGGGGGGGGGCCCTCCAGCCACGGGCTCGACCTCGGGCCTGGGGACCCTGGGCGACTCGGGGTCACTCACCGTCCTCGCTCTGGTTGTAGTAGCCGCGCAGGGCGTGCAGGCCCTCACGGAAATACCGCGCTTGTCTCAAGGCTCTCTGTGTCTGAAGGTCCCAGTACCCCTCCTGCTCCACCCACCGCGCGCGCGGCTCCACTTTCGGCTTCTCCCCGTCGCTGTCGAACCTACCAAACTGCTTGTCGTCCATGTACCACACGATGATTAACTGGGGCTTTCCGAGGCCGGGCCGGGACACAGCAGTGAAGAAAAACAACATGGAGTGCGAGCCTGGGGGGTCGGGGGTCGGGGCAGTGAGACCCCGGACAGGGGCGCGGGGCTCGGGTGGACACGGAGCGGGGCGG